AAATTTAAAATATTTTTATAAAAAAAGTTTAAAAAATTTAAAAAGAAAATAAAGAAATTCATACGCTAAACCACTGTAAAGTTGGCTTCGCCGTCGAGCTTCTCTCATTAAGAAAAGCTTAGCAGTGAAGCCAATTTTAAAAAATTAAACTTATTTATTAAAATTCTTAAATATTAATAGAATTTTTATATATTTACACGCGTTTGAAGGTTTATAAGACGTATTTTTATAATTTTATACAGTTTTTATTATGAAAAATCCGTTGTAGGACTGGATGAAGTTGAAGAACGTATAGATAGAGTTAAGGTGGAATAGGGTGTACTTAAGTCCTTCTACTGCAAAAAATATGTACTTTATGATGCTTTAAGTGTCAAAGGTTAAAGTTGACGTGTTGCTAAAGCTGCCCGCAAGAAAATTAGAGCATAAAATGGGGGTAATCGGCGCTAAAATGGTGTAGAAAAGTCGATTACGCTGGAGAATCCATTGCTCATCTGCTAATTAAGGAAGCAATTAACGATGTTTTCGTCTGGAAGAAAATAACACTTTGCTAAGTAATAATTTCCTGTAGCATCTACAAACATGCGTATACAATTTTCTAGTGATTACTGGATTTATTTACAAATTAATCGGAGAATAACATGCACCTCATTTCAAAGATTCCATCGATGTAACCGGGGCAGAGGTTTCCGTGTTATTAATATGGATTCTCCTATGCTAAAAATAAGAAAACATGTGGATAAAGAGGAACAAAATGAAGCTATATGTGCATTTTTTTTGAAGTGCATGTGCACTTGGAGGGTAAGGAGATTGGTAAAATCAATACGTGACACGATTGTGTATGGATGTATGATTGCCTCCAGGTACTTGGAACAACAACACAAAAGAATTTTCGTATTAAATTCCTGTTAAATCTATACATAAAAAAATAACAAAATTAGATTTTTGAGGTCTTTTTTCCTTATTTTACACGAAAAAAATGGATTCTGGAGTGTTTTTTTTATATATATAGAAAAATCCTCAGAAATTCGATTAAAGTGCAAAGATGGAATTTATCACTTCATCTTTGTAATACAGTTAGAAAAAGCTGGTTGGATGCTAGTCACAATTGATTTACGTCATCGAAAATAGGGAAAAAATTGGAAAAAAATATGTTAAATAATTAAATAAAATTCATTTAAATATACTGAAAATGATAGTTTCTTCGTTTGTTTGTGTGAAGAAGAGGACATTCTTCGACACATCGATTCATTATAAAGGACGATGTTTTGCTTCTGCATGTAGGGAAAAATAGGGAAAAAGTTTAAAAAATCTCATTTAATTCCTTATATTCCATTTCCTTATAATTCCTTATAAACCATTAAAAAAATGAAGTAAAATCTTTTAAAATTCAGTAAAAATTGCATTATTTTCGTCTCTTTATATAATGATGATGTCGATTTTCTGCTGTATTAATTCGTTTTAATGGATGATATTTTGCTTTTATAGGTAGAAAAATAGGGGAAAACATAAAAATCTTTATCTTATTCCCGAAGAAACATTAAAGAATCTGATTAAAATGCACAAAATATGGCATTATTATCACTCCTTTATACGAAGAGGGTATCACTTTTCAGCCGAATCAATTCGTTTTAATGGATGATATTCTACTTCTAGAGATAGGAAAATAGAGAAAAAGATTAAAAAAATCTCCATTTTATTACCAATAAGACGTTAAATGCACGAAAATTGGCATCATCCTCATGCCTTCTACGAAGAAGGTATCACTATTCATCCGCATCAATTCGTTATAATGGATGATATTTTGCTTCCGGAAGAAGGAAAAATAATTCCGGATGAAGATAAAATAAGAAATAAGAAGAAAAAGCCTTTTGTTTCTAACGAATATCAAAGATTATTTATCAAAAATGTTTATCTTATGCTTTCAATTCTTTCTCCTCTCTTGTAAGTACCCTACCCACTTCTAACAATGGAAAGTACGTGATCTATATAAAATAAATTTTATATATTTTTTATTATCTTTCCTTCGTAACAACGTTTAAAAGTTCATTCAATGAATCTTTCATACACAATTTTAAGTTGCATTTAATCCTTCAATGGCTTTGGACGTATCCTTTCTATGTCATTTTATGGGGATAAATTTACAAATGTATTTGTTCTAATGACTTTTTCTACGCTTTAAACATTAAATTTCCTTTAAAAAATCAAAATTTCTTTGTAAAAAAAGCTAGAACAACGATCTTCACGCTCGGTTGGATGAAATTTTTCCACCGTTTCCTCGCAAAAAATAGGGAAATTCGACGATTTAAATGCTTTTATTTTCTTTAAAATCTCTGTTTTCGGCTCTAAATTACGATATTTAATCCAAAAAACGAGAATCAGAAACTTTTCTAGCATAGGAGCATCATCATCATCATCATCATTCCTCATCTTTCCTCCACGTTTTCCATGCAAAAGATAGGGAAATTAGATCATTTAAATACTTTAAAATTCATATTTTTGAACCTAAATTACCTTATTTAATCCATAAAACGAGAATCAGAAACCTTTTTTAGCACAGGAGCATCTTCATCATTATCATTCCTCATTCAAGACGATTTCCTAGAAACAAGACGATTCTTCATCTTCTACGCGTACTTTCCTACCCCAAATCTCCCTCAAAACTTGAATTTCCTTTATAGTAAGTTTATAAGTAGTATAACTCGCTACATCACCGGTTAAGTAGGGATTTTCGAGGTTATTTCCCCACCTAAAATGCATCTTTAACGATAAACTTCGTGCAGAAACCTTAAGAGAGTTAACGATTAGGGAAATTTATACAAAATTCGCTTTAAAAAAGAACATTTTAACTATTCACAACGCGTAGAAACACGGGGAAATCGCTTCCGTCCAGAACACCGTATCGAGTGACGTAGCTCGAGTCCACCCTCTCAAATATCGCGGGAAAATGGGGCACGGCACCGTAATCATACGTCATCACCCCACGTGACTCGGCGAACGATCAAACCCCCAGCACAGTTATCGCACTTAACGGGGTTTGACGGCCAAGGTTGGTCGCGATCACGTGTTTATACGCACAAAACCCGATTGGGCGAAGCCAATACTACGTTCTGTGACAGCATACCGGCTGGTGTTCTGGTTAGGGAGTCGCGTTACTTCGTCGCGCGCGTGGTAAACATCATCCATGATGATGTATGTTGACGAGGAGGATGATAGCTCCCCCCGATCTTCCGTATCCTGGATGAGTGATGCCGTCAACGCCTTTATGAATAGGAGATTCATCAGAAGTTTCAGCGAACGTATATCTGGTAATAAATATCGCGGTTGCCCATTGGGTAGAGCCGAAAGGTGGTGGAAGAAAGTGCGAGAACATAGGCTAACAGGTAAGCCAAATACTAAGTCTTCTAGGGGGGTGTGGACACCGGAAACGGGCCCCAAAAGGCCACGTGACTCGCCCATCTCTTAGTGTTTATATCCGTTGTATAGTTAAATAAAATTCGTCCCCACGTGCAATTTTATACGTAACAATACGCATTTTATATTGTGTGTTTCGAGTGTAGTTTATTGTTATATTGTTCATTCGATTATGATGTAATGTGTAGTTTTCTCTGATTTAGGTCACGTCGAAATTCCAAAATGTCTCGGGATATTGTTTTCTGTGAGGAGTTTTCTTTCTTTCTTTCTTTTTGCTCTGAGATTCGGCTTTTTTATTCTTTACGAGTCAGATTTTGCTCGATTTTACTGGATTTCGAACGTTCGTAATTCAAATTCTGTCAATTTAAAAAATTATTTAGTGTTCAAAAGCGCAATTTTACTGATTTTTTTTAAGCTTTTAACTCAAATTTTGCCAATTTTTAGAGTTTAAAGGCGAAATTTTTTTCATTTTTACAAAATTTTGAACGTTTTAAACTTGGTTTTCTTTATAACTACAGAATTTTTACATTTAAAACACAAATTATTCTTCCCTTTACAGATTGTTGTACCTTCACGACCCATTTTAAACGAATGTTTAATGTTTAAAGGAAAAATTTTGCTCATTTTTGCTAAATTTCGAGCATTTGTAATACTGATTTTGCTGGAAATCCCTCGTGCTTCTGTCGAAATTATTCGAATTTAACTTTATTTTATCTTAATGTATCCTGTGTATTGACGTAAAAGCATCAACAAAAGTTAAAATTAATTACTTACGCAGTTTTAATTTTATTCCTAGCATTTTCTAGTAAAAATGAGACACGAGCACAGTTTAAAAGTTTAAAAAAGTATCTTTAATTCTTTTTTTTTAAGTTTTAAAATCGAAGCTACCGTTTCATTTTTTCAGTAAGACCTTTAGTCTTTTCGTTTTACACGTATAATGGCGGGTGTATTTGATTTATTTTGCTTTAATGCTTGCTAAATTTACAATTTTGGGATGTTGCATCCGTAGTTATTCCTCGTACGTGTGAAATTTGGCCTCTTATACCTATAGTTGGGCCCATATACTTGTAGTTATGCCTCGTGTGCTTATAGTTACGCTTCGTACGTATGTAGTTGAGTCTCGTACATGTATAGTTTGTGTCTCGTTCACGTGTAGTTTGTGCCTCGTACACTGTATAAACTATACGGTACCTCATACATATATACTTGGTGTTTCATACAAGTGTAGTTTGTGCTTCACGCTTCGCATAATTGCTCTCGTGTACTGTATTGTACGTTATTTATGTATAATTATGCCTCGTGTATAATCAGTATGGCTGGTACACGTACAATTAAGCTTCATGTACGTACAGGTATGCCTCATACGCATAGTTATGTCTCTTATATAGTGTCATGTCTGACGTTTGTCTTATTTATAACAATGTCTCTTCAATACTCAAAAGAAAATTTTTATTTTTCTAATTATATCCTCCGTTTTCATTTCATTTCTCATTTCTTTTGACTGTCCTAATTGTAATTATATCTTTTTTATACTTTTGATTACACTTCCTCTTTTTATATTTTGACGATTGTGTAAAAATTTTTACTGAAATTCCACTGAAAAACTCGACTAAATTTTATTCGAATTTCACGTAAAAATCCCTAAATTTTATCCAAATTTCACGTAAAAAATTCTTAAATTTTAACCAAATTTTAACGTCTACAGCAAGCCAAATTTTAGCCGAAAAAAAGCCATTAAATTAAGCCAAATTTCAGCTGGAAAATGCCCAAATTTTAGCCCCAAAACGAAAAATTTCCTTTAAAATAATTTTTTAGAATATTAACGCACAGATATATCATTTTTACATGGCACACACAAACACACTGCTGTAGTGTTATTTATGCACGTAATAAAGCAGTTTAGAACACTTAAACACTGTCGGAGAGAAAATATATCAGTCAAATATCACTGCGGACGAATAATAGAGGGGAGGGCGATTAATACAACGGCTACTATTATTATTATTATTTTGTGCGTGTGACGTCGATAAACACGTGACGTAGACGGAGACCGATGCGTATATCACTTAGCGCGTGTTTATCACACCCCGTAATAAAGGTGAAAATGCTACTTAAGCTTGGCATTTGCGCAGTATATTTATTCATAATAGTCAAATCGATTGTGTGTTAGTTGCCTTGGTGATTTTTCTCTACTGCAACGAATTAATACGCGCGAATAAAGTGTCGTTTCTCTTTTCTCTCCTTTAATAGTTTCATTGTACTTTTCCCCCCATTCTTTTTGACATTTTGTTCCTTCCTCCTCTACTTCGACTTTTTGTCCGCGTATATTTCAGTCCCTTAAGCGCGTGCTTGTGTCTCGAGGTTGTCAAGCGTGTGCTTGTGAGGCACAAGTGTCATTGCTACTACTATACGAGACAGAAGCACGTATGAGGCACAATTGTCCGAGTGTGCTTTACTTTTGCCACTTAAAACTTACCTTTGTGTCTTTAACGTGTCTTTCTGCCTCTTACGTTTATGAAACGTGTGATTGTGCCTCTTATGATTGTCACATTTGTGATTGTGTCACATACGTGTAACAGTAAATGTGTGATTACTTGCAAGAGACAACTATACAGTCGACCACTCTATAACACTGTTGATAATTCCATTTTATAAGAATTCCATGTTGTACGAGTCACTTAAATTTTACAAATACGTGAGCCGTTCACAGCTCGGCACACGTATTTGTAAAATCTAAGTGATTCATACAACATGAAATTCATATAAAACGGAATTATCAACAGTATTATAGGGGGGTCGACTGTACAAGGAATAAGCACATATGAGGCACAATCATTCGATGTATTTTGTGCCTCTTATAGTTGTCTCTCTTACAGGTGTAATTTATGTTTTACACGTGTAATTGTGCCTCATATAACTTATGACTCTACTTCTTGTATCTGTGCCTCGCGTACAGTGCGTGTGTGTACACAAAAGCTGTATAAATTCTTAGAAAAATACACAATTTAAATCACAAACATTTTATATTTTATCACAAACTTTCAAAGCTTTCTTATGCACATTTAATTCTCTAGTTGGATATTTTGACACGTTCCGTTTAGCTATTCATCCAGCCCTTTGTTAAAATTGTACACGTGGATAACACATACCATATTCCAATTCCCATCTTCGTAAAAACATTTATTTAATTTAGAAACTCGAATTTTTATAATTTGAATCATTAAAAATTGCTATAGTAACACCATAAAGGCGCCTAATATGTGACGTCATTAGCGTGTCGCTATAGGTAACCGATTTAAAGTGATGTCAATAAATTGCTTATTGGTTAATATAATCGATGACGAAAGATACCGGAACGTTAATGAATGCCATATTAATGTACAGTACACCTTTAGAATTAAATACAGAACACAAATAAAATTGTAAAAAACAAGCGTAAAAGTCTATAAATATTCGATAAAAATCGATTAATTTCACTTCGAACGATTCTAAAACATATTTAGAATTTTTTAACTCGAAAAATTCTAGAATCGTTAATTCAAATTTCAAAAATTCGAATTATTGACTCTTATTGGCCGATGAAAAAAATCAAAAAGCATCCGATTGGTTCTCGTCTATTGCGTCACTTATTAATAATAAAAATCGAACAAATTGTCAGAAAAATGACGAACCAAAAAATTTCGAAGTCGAAATAATTTCGTAAATAAATTAATAATTTTAAAAAAAGTAATTTATTTAAGTGTGTAATTTTATATTACGCATAATTGATGAGGGTTGTATAATATTCTAGAATCGGCATTTATTTTAACCTTTAACTTTTAACCTTCGGAATCTGTACTCGCTCGCATTTACTCGTTTGGTATGATATATATTTTTTCTTATTATTTATTTATTTATTTATTTGGTGCGATGGTTCGGATATCGTTTTCCATTTACTCTGTAAACAAAGATGGAAGAGGAGAGAGAATATAGAAAGGATTACTTGCTTGATTATAAGTCCTGTAACGATATAACTCTTGGAATCCATTTTGAGATATCCTAATTGATCCTGTATGCATAAAAAGGAAGAAAAAAAAGGTGTCTAATTATTTTTAAGTGGGTTTATTACTCTAGTTGTTAAGAATGATCAATTTTCGTGGATCAAAAACAACTTGACACACTTTCCTAAGCGAGCGAGATACTATACACCTACAAAAATACACGCGAAAAGGGTCAAGTACGAAGAACTATTTCCCTTCTTTTTTATATATATATTTCTACTTTTTAAAGGGTTATACATACTTTCACGGACGTAAACTTTAATAGCCCGAAACTACTCCATTCATAAAACAATACATTTATTGTAGCGTGAATTATATACCTCATACATTCGTATGTATATAAAAGGAAAGGAAGGTGAATTAGTTTCTAAATTTAATAACTTTTTTATATATTTTTAATCTTTTATAACTTATAATTTACTTGATTTTCTATTGGTATATATCATTTATCAAGGTAATTTGCATTTTTATAAGGTGTTCTCTATTTAAATAAAGATACGATCGATGTTGATTGTTTCCTTTCATTCTTTGTTTCTTTTTTTTTCTAAACTTAATGTATAAATTTTCGAATTATCCTATTTATTCTTCTTGAAAATTTGATAATATATTTTAAAGATTTTTTTTAGAATTATTATTTTTAAAATATTTTTAAAGTAATCGCTTGCAGAGATATAAATTTATTTATTATTATTTTTTAATATTTAAATGGAGATTTTTCTATAAATTTTATTTTATTTTGTTGTCGATATCTCTCATTTGTTACTATTATAAGTTCGGGTAAATGCCAACACATCAATTATTAATAAAAAAAATTTTTTTAGATGATTTCCCACAAATATTTTCTCATTCGAGCAATAATATGTCATTTCGTGAAATTAAAATGACCGTTTTTTCTAATTTTAAAATTCCCCCCATCCACGGGGGAGAGA